GAACCTCCCGCTAAGACTGCAGGGGAGTGTTAGAATATATGTTCAATATATTTTATTTATAGTGTGTATCATTAGTTTGGAATGTATATCTTTGTTTCCTTAATTGTAGCCTAATTGATCTCTTGTAATCTCCTTAATTGTAGCCTAATTGATCTCTTGTAATCATGTATATATTCCACGGTTTAGCAATGAGAAAGGGGAAGATTAATCTCTTTCAGTTTGCATACTTCTTTTTCCTTGCATTCTCGTTCTCTAGGAGTCATACATTTGTTTGGCCTTTTAGAGCTTTTACGTAACTTTTCCCTTTCTTAGCGATTGAACTTCGATACAATGTTATGTTACAATAATGATTCCTCCTCACCTATATAAAGAAGGCTCTTCCCACCATTATAATCACATATTTTCTTGAATATAATACTTTGGGAGTTTTCTCTTTGCATGTGGTGATACTTGCGCTTTCGAAGCTTCTTTCCATTGAGTTCTTTTCAAGTTCTTTGTGAGAGAGATCTTCACACTTTGGTTTGCCTCTTCATTGTGATTAAGAGGGTTGGTTACATCCGTATTACCATGTTTTCCTTTTCATTGTGACTAGGAGGGTTCGATAGGACATATCCATCTATTTCCATCATATCATCATCGTCATCATCCAAGTCAAGCCATCTTCACCATATCCATAAGCTTCATGCCTACACATACATACTAGGGGGAAATTTCAATTTCAGTTTTCTCTTTATATGTTCATTGTTTTTCAACTTCGTTTTCATATTAATATTCCTTATATTATTACCTTTCTAACGCCTATCTTCTTTTTTTATTCCGTGTCATGATCAATTTTACCAAAAGCCCTAATTTGGCGAATTTATCCTATCATATCTATTCATTATCTTTATTTATCTTTATTCTCTTTATTCTTTCATTTTGTTTGTCTTTCTCTCAATTCCAATAAACCCTAATATACCCAAAACCCTAATTTTCATCGCCAACATCTCCTTCTCATGCTCTCAATCTTTGATCAAGTCTAGAACTTTCTAGGTTTGATTCTTTAACGAAAAACAACGTACATCTTCCGCTATCGTTTCTCTATCAATTGGTAACATATTTGGGATGATTCTTGAAAAGAATCAAGTGAATTTGCTTCTCCTTCCATGCCTACTTCGTCAAGGTACAACAATGAAGCTAGTTCACAAAGATTCATAATTTTTAGTATCCTTTTACATTCTTTTAAAATTAGTTTCAATTCCTTATTGTTAGTTTGCTATTTTTCATTGAAAAAGGAAAAAAAAAAAAGCCAAAAGAAATCCAGAAATTGCAAACGAATAAATTTGGATCTATTTTTTTTATATAAACATTCTTCATCCTAAGAGATTTAAAATGCAAAATTCAAGTCAACCGGACATCAATAGACCCCTCTGATCCATCGTTCAAAATTGTTCGACATATTTGAGCACTAGTTATTGACAAATTTTCCAGAATTTTATAGAAAGAATTTGTTGCTGAAATTTTCCAGACTGCAACTAAATCCATTGGAAGACATCCAAAAACAATTTCAAAATTTTTAGAGATCGAAAACCCCTTCATAAACATTGCTCAATTTGATCTAGTGATTGATTGGCATATTTGGGGACTTGACATTGATGAATTTTTTTAGAACTTTCCAAGATATAGTTTGTGCTAAATATTTCCAAATTGAAACTAAACTTATTGAGGAACATTCACAAAAAATTCAAAGTTTTTGGAGATCAAAAACTCCTTCCAAAATGTTTCTCAAGTTGATTCAGTGAATTAGGTTTTCCAATTTTTTTTCTTTGACTCTTATTGCCTTAGGTTCCTTTTCTTACATTTTCTTTGTTCCTCTACATCATCTAACAAATTATTCTTCTTTTTTTAGTAGGAATAAAAGAGTTTACATACTTCTTTTTCCTTGCATTCTCGTTCTCTAGGAGTCATACATTTGTTTGGCCTTTTAGAGCTTTTACGTAACTTTTCCCTTTCTTAGCGATTGAACTTCAATACAATGTTATGTTACAACAATGATTCCTCCTCACCTATATAAAGAAGGCTCTTCCCGCCATTATAATCACATATTTTCTTGAATATAATACTTTGGGAGTTTTCTCTTTGGAAGTGGTGATACTTGTGCCTTCGAAGCTTCTTTCCGTTGAGTTCTTTTCAAGTTATTTGTGAGAGAGATCTTCATACTCCGGTTTGCCTCTTCATTGCGATTAGGAGAGTTGGTTAGATCCACATTATCGAGTTTGCCTTTTCATTACGACAAGGAGGGTTTAATAGGACATATCCATCTATTTCCATCATATGATTATCATCATCCAATTTATGCCATCTTCATCATATCCATAAGCTTTATACCTAAACATAGGGATGGGCATGGGACCCAAACCCGACGGGTTCTGACCCAAACCCCTTTCGATTGGGTCAGGTTTTTTAAAGGTGATGTTTGGGTCGGGTCGGATTTGGGTTTAGGGTGAAAAATACCTGACCTAACCAGACCAAAAAATATAATTTTACCTTATATATTTAGGATTAATTACAATAATACCCCTCTATATATTATTTTTTTCAATTAAATCATTTTTTATTAAATAATAAATAATACTTTTTATTATTTTGAGTCGGGTCGGATCGAGTTCGGATTTTATCTCAAAATATTGGGTCGGGTTTGGGTCGGATCGAGTTTGGATTTTATCTAAAAAAATTGGGCCAGGTTCGGGTCAGGTGGAGGTATATATTTTTTAGATAGAGTCGGGTCGGATGAAGGATCTAAAATTTTTGGGTTGGGTCGGGTTGGCTGAAACCCGACCCATGCCCATCCCTACCTATGCATACATACTAGGGAAAATTTTAATTTCAGTTTTCTCTTTATCTGTTCATTTTTTTCAATTATGTTTTCATATTCATATTCCTTATATTACTACCATTCTAATGCCTATCTTCTTGTTCCATTTCGTGTCAAGATCAATTTTTCCAAAAACCTTAATTTGGCTAAGTTATCCTATCTTATCAATTTATTATCTTTATTCTCTTAATTATTTCATATTCTTTGTCTTTCTCTCAATTCCATCAAACCCTAATAAATCAAAAACCCTAACTATAGTCGCCCACATCTCTCTCACATCCTCTCATTCTTTGATCGAGTCTAGAGCTTTCTAGGTTTGATTCTTCAACGAAGAGCAACGTACATCATCTGTTGTCACTTCTCTATCAATCTTCCAACAATACTTTTTTTTATAAAAAAGTTAAACAACGTTACAGTAAAACTTCTATAAATTAATAATTTTACCACATAATTTAATTAATTTAAAAATGTATTAATTAATCGATAAATTAATAATTTATTAATTTAAATAGATTCTTTTTTATTCAATGAACCTACATTGTTTTTCATGAATAAAACATATACATTGTATTGACTAATTAAATGATGTTCATGTACAATGTGATTAATTAAATATAATACATAATCCTAAAAATAGAAAGTACATTATAGTATGTAGTAATAGTTAAAACTTAATGCAAGTTCATGAATGGTAAGTAAATCAACCACTATATAAACAACATCAAATATTGTAATTTTAGAGATGAAATACAATTAAAATTAAATTTTAAGAAGTAAACAAAAATAGAATCATATTTTACTAAGTTATCCTAGTTATATTTCTAATTTTATAGAATTATTAATTTATAATATTAAAGGGACCATAAATTTACACGGATATTCCGAAAAATTTATTATCTTATTAATTTATCGAAATTATTAATTTAGATCTTGGACCGAAGTCGACACCAAGAAAATTATTATTTTAGAGAGATTATTATTTACCGAATATTAATTTATAGATGTTCTATTATATATCATAGACCAAAACATAAAATTGTATATATAAAAAAAGACACAAGGTTCATATTAAAAAGAAGATACTAAACTCAAGTATCAAATGATGCATTAAATCATGGAAGAACTTAAGATTTTATGTTAAGAGAGAATTTTTAAAATTTTAGAAATGAAAAAAATTATAAAATTTTAGGGCGACGAAAACAATTTTTTAATAGAAAATGCATATACAAGATCTAAAATATATGATAATTTTAAATTTTCAAGGGTGACTTTCCTCACATGTCCCCTCGATCCATCCATGTATCAAATTATAAAGGCTAAACTACATATTTTGTACTCCAACTATCGTTTTAATTTTGTTTGGGTCATCCAATTATTTTTTAAATTATACATGACATTTAGTTTTAGTTTCATTTTGATCACCCGTTGTTAATAAATTAACGGTGACATTGATGTGTCATCATAGATAATGTCACGTCATCATTGAAAAAATAATAAAAATATCATATGAGTAATTAAGTTAATTTTTTAACGATGGATGACCAATATGAAACTAAAATGTAACGTTACGTATGATTTTGAAAAAATAATCGGGTGAACCAAATGGAAGAAAAGTAACAGTTGAGATACTAAACGTGTTGTTTACCCAATTATAAATGAAACTTAATGAAGATCACCTAGGGATGGGCATGGATTAGGTCGGGTTGGATTTTCGGTCCACCTGATCCGACTCAAAAATTTTAAATCTTCCACCATACCCGAAAAATATACCCATTCCACCTGACCTAATTTTTTGGGTTAAAATCCAAACCCGACCCGAAATAATATATTTATTAAAAAAATATTATTTTTATTCAATAAAAATAGGTATTTAATTGAACAAATAATATATACATGGGTATTATTACAATTATCCCTAAATATATAAGGTAAATTTATAATTTTTTCGGGTCGGGTCGGATATTTTTACCCTAAATCCAAACACAACCCGACCTAAACATAACTTTAAAAAAAAATTACCTGACCCGATCCCTATATTTTTAAAAAAAATTCTGACTCAATCAGGTCGGGTCAGATCGGAACCCATATGGTTCGAGTCCATGCGCATCCCTAAGATCACCCAACTCATCAAAATAGTTTCTTCGTTTTATTGGATCCCAGTTTCCTCAGTTTCCACCTTAAGTCTGAAAACAAAATTACTGTAAAAAGTACAGCAAAGTCTGTCCATGCAAATTAAATTGAGAGAAGAACAAACCCAAGCAGCCAAAGCTGGGAGTTTACATCGGATTAGGGGTTTTTTCATTGTTGACATCGGACCCAAACTGGTTCTCAAGGTCTGGATCTTGCATCATTGGCACTCGAGCTTCCCCTGCAAACTGATTGAACCCTGAATGATCCCTGGCTATATTCACCAGCTGCCTGAAGCTCTGTTGCTCTGCTTCTGAGGTATCTGCAATGGGAGATTGGTACAGGACAGACAGTTGCTTCAACGCAGCCTTCTGCTTCTTCAGTTCATGATATTCAGCTTTACAAAAAAGTTATCCCAGCATTAGGTTTTGACTTATTTTCAAACAAAGAAATGAAGAGCGAGAGGGGATATAGAGGAAACCTTCTTTCATCATAAGCTTGTTGGAGAGGTCATACAACTTTTTCTTCATGGAGGAATTCTCAGCTCGCAACAATGAGTTTTGCGTTTTAGCATATTTGATCCTAGGATACGTGACCGCCACTTGAGCCTACGTACATATTAAGCTATTGTTAGGGTTTGGCAATACGCATAAATTTATTAGAAATTCAAAATCAAGGATAATAATATTATGATTTCATTATGATATTAAATTTTATATTTAGTAAACTACATGATTGATTATTTTTGTTTTAATTTTGTATATTTTTTTCACTAAATTCAAAAGTATAATATTTTATTACTTTCATTTTTATCTAATTAAGATTTGTCATTTTTATATAATTTCCTCACCAACGTCAAAATTTTAGTGACAGGATATTTAAAAGCCGATAAGATAAATGATGACTTCTTAATTAAATAAAAATGAACATGACCACATATTAATGAAATAAAAATGAAACGAATCAAATATTATGTTTTTTTAGAATTCAGTGATGAAAAGTGTACAAAACTTGAACGAATCATGCAATTTACCCTTTAATATTTTTAAAAGACCTAGAATTTTAACTTACACGGATTCAAGTTATGCTACTCTAACACAAATCATCTAGGAAAAACAATATTATGATTTCATTATGACATCATACATATATAATTTTTCAAAAAGACCTAGATTTTAAACTCATGCACACGTGTAAATTATGTTACTCGAATATGAATCACCTATGGAGAACAATATTATGATTTCATTATGACATTAAATTTAAATTTTTAGAAGACCTATATTGTAAACTCAAGTACATATATAAATTATACTACTCAAACTCAGGTCATCTAAGAAGAATAATATTATGATTTGATTATAATATTAAATTTAATTGAATACATTATGATTAGTACTATATATATATAATCAAACTCAGGTCATATAAGAAGAATAATATTATGATTTGATTAAAATATTAAATTTAATTAAATACATTATGATTAGTAATATATATATATATATATATATATATATCATGCATAATATCATTATGATAGTTCACGCTAGATATTTAACAATAAACATAAGGCATGTGAGGATTTCTTCCATAAAAATGTAATGAACCATGTCTAAGTGTGGATGGGTGTCTAACATGGACATGTAAGATAATAAAATACACGTGGGAGATGTTTAATTGATACAACTAAATACAATTGGCTACGTTCAAACACATAATTAAAAATTTTTTCTTTTCTTTTTTTATTTTCAAGAACACAATCAACAATAAGTAATTTATTATATTATTGAAGTCGATAATTCTAAATTAAAAATAATAAAGTTTAAAAACTACTTGTATGTTGATGTTTAATTGATAGATATCGATTGCATGTTTTGTGTCATTTTTAAACACAAAATCAACAATGAATAATTTTCGGAATATATGTTGATATTTAACAAAGTCAATTTATATGTTGATGTTTAAAAACTTTGTACAATGTAATTGATAGAATATCGTGATATAGAATGACACATAAAATTAATAATATTAATTTTTGGATATTCTATTAGTGTAGATCACTAAATCGATGACATTATCAATAGAGCAGCAACATTTTAAACTCTATTTTCAAACATTAATATAATATTATAAGGGGTCATATTGTATCAAGTTTTAAATTTTAGGAGGCAAACCGACTATATTTGTTAATTATAGGGGTAACTAGATAAGAAAATTTCAAGAACAAATACCAAAAATTTGATGGGAAGCTGGACCAAAGGTACAAAATTTAGAAGAGTGATTTATGTTTTAAGCATTTTATTTTTAAATACAATATCAACATGAATGATTTAGTTTTATTTTATAATTCAATACTTTTTAAGAAAAAAGATTTTCATATTGATATTTAATTGTTAAATATCGATTTTACATTTTTACCTTATATAAATTGTAAATAATATTTTATTGTAGTATACAACTGTATTTATGTCGGAATTTTTTAAAAATTACATTTTCATCTTATGCATGTTATATATGTATTACGCGTGAATGTAATTTTTAATATAGTCTTTTTTTAGTTACAAAAAAGAAGAAGAAGACTATATTAAAAATTACGACTATACTTATAATATAGTCTTGTTTTTACTTTACAAAAATCGTAAATAATATTATCATATATAACTGTACTTATGTCGGAGCATTTAGAGACTCTCTTTTTATCATATTTATGCATGTTGTATATGTATTATTCGTGTACGTAAAGTTTAATTAGAAACTCTATTCTAACGTTATCTCTATATAATTTACTTGTTCTATTTGATGTTTTTTTTCGCTAACTCTTGTTCTCCCTTTAAGATTTTAAGGTTTGAACTTTTTTATTCTCAGATCTGGATTAGACAGTAGGGTCAATGCTCACATTTCAAAAATGATCGTCTTAAAAACCCCCCAAAACAAATATTTTTTATTGATATTTTCTCTATCAAAGATCATAAACACGAGAAAAAAGAAAAATATACGAGAGATGTTCGTTTACCTGGAGAGCCCTAACTCCTGTTTCCAGTTGTGCAATGTATTGCAGCTGTTTGAGTCTATACCTCCGTGAATACTTGCGGCTAGCAGCAATCCTACAAAAATATCACATTCATCAATCTTTCTGACGAACAAATCTGAATATATAATGATATGTATGTGATTCACCTTTTGAGCTTTTTAGGGTCCATGGCCATGTCACTGCCAACTGTTTGTCCTTCACCATGGGGGACCTGATCTGCATTGTCATTAACCTCTCTAATCTTAATTCCTGACATTACTTCAATCTAAGAAAAAAAGGAGAGGAAAGTTCAAGTGGAGGAATTTGAAAACCCTAAATAAGCTTCTCAGAGTTAGTGATTGCGTTGAGGGAAAAAATTCCCGAGAGCTTTTCTTTTTTATATACAAATCATATTTGTATAGTGAAAATACATGTATTAGCTTGATTACCTTATATGTCCATACTACTATAAAAGCCTAATGCATTGTGGATTACATGAATTATCTAAAATGATAATACTATTTGCCCACTGGATATGTAATTTGGTATTCAAGCTGTCAAGCAAATAATGTTTTTTCCCTTATTTGTTGTTACCTTATAATGTCACCCTTGTGTCAATGTTTTCTTTTTCTTTGTTCAACTTGCTCATTTTTTAAGAGTTAATCCGAATAATTGAATATTTGCCAATTTTTGGAAATTGAATGTTCCGGTATGTATCTCGACTTCGAAACACTTTGGCCAATAAAATCTCTCAGTGGGCACGATCAATAAAATGAATAATTAAACGAAAAAATTCGAATTTCAAGATGGATACTTTTCTACCCTAAATTATGCTTGAATCCACCATTGATCCCTATTTTAGTTTATTCTCTCACCTTTTTTTATGTCTATGGTGGAATCATGTAATTTTTTCTGATTCACTCAGTTTGTAAACTCCTTCGGATGTCATATTTGTTTGTAATGAATCTACTATATGCATAAATTTAATTGACTGAGTAAACAAAATTAAGGTTCAACAATTTGGTTAGATCAATTAATATTTTTTAATTCTCATTTTTTTAAAATTTGAGTTTGAGTAAATTCATGTTATACAATTATTGAATTATTTAGATTTTTGGTTTGAGTCGCATGTTTTTGAAGCTTAAGTTTCCTAATAGAGATATTTTAGATTCATATCATTTTTTATTTTGATCACTTTGACTTTGATCAATTTTAGTTACTTGATATAGTCATGTGAAATTTAGGTAAATTCTTTGGGATTAATCATGATACTCTGATTACCAAAAAGGTTGTGAGTGGTTAAAGGAAAATGATATCATAATAACTTTTAACGTCGTCTCTAATTAGATTCGATAGTTGAATGAATTCAGATTATTTTGAGTTTAGATTTTTTTTAAATTCAATGTTTTTCGAATTTGAGTTAAATTTGAATTTGTGTACTTCTTAAATAGATTTTTTTTTAAAGATTTTACATATTTTTCCTTGTCCTCTTCGATTCTTTTTCCATAAATTCTTTATTATTTTTAGAATTTTTCTATATAAATTTTGGTTTTTTTAATCTAATTATATTTAAAATTTAGGATGTGAAAAATAATCAAATTAAAGTCTACGTAAAATAGAGCATTCACAAGAGACGAGATTTAACATGATTCAATCTTGTCTATCTCTAAAAATGAGAATAATAATAATCTACTATAAACGTAGAGATCATGAAGGATGTAAATACTTTATATTCTAATTATCCTAAAATTCAATATTTATATCAAAATCGGAATATCCCAAAACACATTTTCAACATTTCTACAATAAAAAAACCCCAAAACTTAGGGGTGAACTCACCATCAAGATCCTTTTACTCATATTATTGATAAAGTGAGGCGGTGAGGGATATAGCCCTTTTGGAAGAAAATTATTAAGCATTAATATTAGGGGTGAAAAGAGAGTTTGTGGGCGCTCTCATGATTTGTCGTTAAAATTAAAGTTTTAGTATTAGACTGATTGCAAAATGTAGTTGGTTGGTGTGTTAATTCTAAAATTACACTGGGTTGTAAATTATGAATCGATGGCGAAAAATTAGTACGGTATCCACAAAGGACATGTGATGTAAAGTTATAATGGGTTGACAACTGAAAGTCGAGATGGCAAGGTGTAGTAAGAGTTACGTCGGGATTGGGATCTTCAGTAAACTCAGATCTTTGGCGATTCTTAATTGATAGTAGAGTTTTAATTCTAAATGGGAAGCCAAAAGATGTTGTATAGTAGGAGTTGGTGGTGTTTGTAAGGGTAAATATCTATTAAGTAGAGTACATGTTGGGTTTTGGAGGTATTTTCTCATGTTTCTTCCGTATATTGTTTTGTTTGAAAGAATGACTTTCATGGGTTTTGATATATTGTGCTAGTCCACGAGGGTGGGATGGCTTTTTTCTTTTTTAATTGGGGTGCTTTTAAGGGTGTCTCTTTTTTGGTTTTGGTTACGGATTCTCTCGATAGGCTAGAAGGGTTTATTTCTTAGCTGGTTTATAGTGATACGTGTAAAGGTGTTTTCCATGGTTTTTGGGATCTCTTGTTGATAGTCCAGGAGGTTTCTTAATCATGTTAGATTAAGGTGGAGGGCCTTATGAGAAGCTATCTCCTTCCATGGGTGTTTCTGCAACATGTAGGAGAAGTTCTAGACGATTTCAAGGCTTGATTTCTTTGCTACGAGCTCCTTTAGATTTGGAGGCGTCGCAAAGTAGTGAAAGGATTTTGTTTTTGTTTTTTTTGTCAATCGCTTTGTTTAAGGGTGTACATTTTATATTCTATTTTGAATTTTTTTTAGTTCGATCGGATGGAGTGGGAGTTGATTATGATGTTGTTCTAGATTGTCCTAAGAGCTCTAAATGGCAGGATGGGTCTTCTTGAAAAAGTTGAATTGTTAAGGCGCGAGCTGCTATTAGCGTAGTGAAAAGCATAGACAATCTATGTTCCAAAACGTGGTGGTGATGGCTGTCTATTTTTTGTCATTTGGTAGGCGTGGCTAGTGTTTGTAGCATGCTATAGAGGTTGTCAGACTATTGGGTGAGTATCTGATTTTTCTAGCTGATTGGTACTTGGTTTAATTTGTTATGCTTCTATGTGCTTTTGATGGTTGTCAGACTATTGCGTGAGTATCTGATTTTTCTAGCTGATTGGTACTTGGTTTAATTTGTTATGGCTTCTATGTGCTTTTGATGGTGGTGTAACCACAATTTTTTCATTTTACTTAAATTACTTAAATTATTATTTTTAAAACTACTACTATTATTATTATTATTATTTAAATATTAGTATTATTATTATAATTATTATTATTAAATAAATATAAATATTGTTACAAGCCCAATAACCAGGCCTGTTTTACACAACCAGAAATGGCCCAATCCAGTCCAGGCCCAGCAGAACCCTTCTAGGGTTTCCATTATCTCAGCCAGCCGCCAGCATCAACAGCCGTTGGATATGGTAAGATCCAACGGTCCAGAACCTTCCAGATGAAACCCTAGGGTATTATAACCTTAGGGACCACGCGGCGCCGCCTCTGCCAGGTGTCTCATCCCGCCATTGCCGACGCTCCACTGTTGCCACGACGCCTCTAACGAACACTCCAGAAGCTCTGCTGTCACGACTCCGACCATCCACGTTGTTGCCTATGGTGAGTCACCACCATAGCCATGGTAACTCACCGAAAGTTACCCATCAGACCGGTCCGAGAACCACACCTTCGATGGCTATAAAAGCTATCGACCACCTGCAAAGAGAGAAACCAGCAAGACACGACGGCAAAAAGCAAAGAGAACAGAGAAAAACAGAGGAAGAGAAGAGCAACCAACGACCATCAACAGCCACAACCACAACAAACAGCAACCAAAAACCAACAACCAGAAAAGAAAAAGAGAATGAGACTTACCCAGAAAACTAAGCGATCGTCGGAGCTTCCCCTCGGCGTTGGAAAACTGAAACATCTAAGGTAAATAACCTTATATTTACGTCAATCTAAGGGGATTTAGGAAAAAAAGAGGTTGAATTTAGGTCGAGGGTCTGGAGAGCTTCGTTTTAGGTATAAATTTGGTCGCCGGCCATCGCTGGCGGCAGCGATTGGCGCCGGAACGTGATCGCCAGCTGGTGGTCGGCCGGTGACTTCTAGAGAGAAGGAAGAGAGAATGTTCATCTCTCTCTTAGAGAGAAAAAGAAAAAACATGAGAAATATGGCCCTAAAGGGCCGGTTAAAAGGGCATTTAAACCCTTCCCCAACCGACGCCGTTTTGGGGAGGGTATCTGTGTAATTTATCGCCTGGGAAAACCTCGTCCGCAGTCATTTCCAGTTTGTATTCTTTACAAATTAGTCACTGCAATCAACTTATAATTATTTCAATTTAGTCTTTATATTTTAGTTATTTATAATTTAGTTATTACTTGTATTTTATACATATTTAGGATAAATACCATATTTAGTCCCTCATATTTTTATATTTAATATTTCAATCCCGAATAACTAATATAGGTTAAATCACACTGTTAGCACTCAAATTTTATAATATTTCGAATTAGAGCATTTAGGTTTTATAGCTTATAATATAATCACTAATTATTTTTATTATAAGTTTTATTTTATTTTATTATTTACACCTATAGTTTTAATTTTATTTATTTTAGTCATTGTTTATTTATTTTTATATGTTTATATATTTAATTATTATTGTTATTATTATTATTATTATGTAGTCATATAAATATATATAATAAATAAAATTTATTTACTTATTTTTTATATTTTATATACATATTAAATAAAAATCCTATTTAAAAATTTAATTTTACATAAATTACTTTTAAGAAAAATAATCATATTTTAATATTTATTTATTTTTTAATATTAAGAAATGGGAAGTCTTAAAGAACCTAGAAGTTTTTTTTTCCTGATATTCTTAAATAAATAAATATCTTTTTTTATAAATTATATATTAATTTATTTTAATTATTTTAGAAAAATGTTTTATTAATATTTATTTATTTTTTAATATTAAGAAATGAGCTGTCTTAAAGCACCTAGAAGTCCTTTTATGATATTTCTAAGTAAATAAATATCTTATTTATAAAAATAAAAAATATATATATTAATATATTTTCTTAAAAGTATATTAATTTGAAATAACATGATTATGAATTAAATATATTTTTGAATTTTTAAATTTCCAATAATAGAGACAATTTATAATTAATGAGTACCAATTTTGGGCGTTGTGGGGGTGCTAATCCTTCCCC